TGTACGACATAAATATTTTTTAAGTCTGTAACTTTGTGAATTAAAAACTAAATTTTTATAAAAATAAATTTCAATATTAAAAAGAATTTTCTACAAAATTCACTCATTTACGACAAATAGACGCCATTGATTGTACTCAATTTTGTTTATGTGTATGTTTATTTTACTTATCACCGTTTACAACTGGTACGTGTTTGTTTTAATGAAAAAAATAAAAATTTGGAAAACATAAAAACACACAACCAAAAGTAATTGTTCAAATCATTTGGTCCTTTTTAAGTCGATACAACACAATTTAAAAATCATTACTTAAAAGTTGTATTTAAAAACGAAAGATATATTGATACAAATTTGAACTTAAGACATTGTCGAGTAATTTACAAAATTGTTTAAAATACCATTTCTTATTTTCAGGCTTTGATTTTTTTTACTGCCAACTTAACAAATACCATTTGGCGACTATATAGTGGTATTTCTAAAATATCAGATCAAAATATGTGTATTTTATTTGTGTTATTAAAATAAAAACGTATTCAATATCCAGAATAAAAAATTTTCATATGTATCAAAAGTATTTTATTCTGGATAGATATTTAACGCTGATAAATAAATTAAAATTTCAATAATAATGTTTTGTAACAAAAAAAACAACAACATTTTCAAATTAAATGTTGTTGTTTGTTAAAACAGATAGAGTATTGATTAAGTACTAAAAACTTAATGAGTGATTAATGATAAAATAAAGGTTTTATTTTTATTGTAATTAGTTTTTTGCAAAAAATATATGAAAATTGGCGACAAATTCATTTAATTAATTAAAAATTGTCACATATTAAGTTTCTGGCCTTCAGTAATTACAGATCGAGCATTTACAATGTGCCAGAATTATTTTTAGAAATGAGTTTGGCATTTAAATTACATATCAAATAATTTAAAACCCTAAAAAAACAAAAAAATAAAACCCGAATATTTACATCAATCAATCCTCTAATTTCTTGGCACACTTTAAGTTTCTGGCACTTATTAAATATACTATCTGAACTCGATTTGTATTATTTTTCAATATATAAATAATAAACTTTGATTGTTGCTTATACAATGAAACTGTATATTTTATTTCATTCAACAATTATAAATTACATAATTATTCAAAACTAATAATAAATTTTTAAACATATTTTAATTATTTATAATTAAAAAACAAAGAAAAAATAGGATTTTTTCTGTATATAAAATAATTTAATAAGAAAAATAATTTGGATATAAAATAATAGAGTTAATTTTAACATTTATGTATTAATAATTTAAAAACGACAACCTCTGTTTCAAAGCTAAAATTAAAATGAATTTTTGAATAGATTTTGATATAACTAACATTATATATTAGAAATTAATAAATTGTATGTTTAAAAATTTGTTTTTTGGTGTTGTTTTATTTATAAATAATTACACCCATTAAAATTTATCTTACTTGACATATTTAAGTATTAATACAATTCCACTTAAATTTAACTTTAACAAACAATTAATATACTTTTATATCATTTTTATAAAAAAATGAGTGTTGTTTACAAGTAATAATGATTTTAAAACAATTGATAAATATTATTCAATATTCATTTTTGGATTTTTAAAAACCAATTACACTTTTATTTAAAGTTCAAAAACGAACTAGGTCATATATTAAATGAACATTTTCGTGTTTAACTTATTCATTTTCTTTGTGTTATCTTCTTATCCTTTCCAAAGATCAAATATAGAAGAGTTTGAGTTAACTGAAGATTATTCAACTACAGAAATTAATGAATCAGATCTGGATTCATTTTTACAATTATTTGACTCTGACAACTCGGATTATTTCTTATCTGATAACATTTTTGAAGAATTTTTTGATGGTACAGCAAACGTCTTTAAGAAAATCATTGACACTTCTTCAGATGTGATATCTGATACTGGTAAAGCGATAGGGAAAGTTGTTGATACTGTTGTAGAAAAAGCCGATGTAGTTGCGACTGTATCTAGTGCTGTAGCTGGAGTTTCGACGGTCCTTGCTGTTATACCCACACCACTTTCTCCACTTTTTGCGGGAGTATCTTTAGGAGCCAGTAAAATTGCTGCCATAGCAAAGTCGGTTGACACGACTGCAAAAACTTTGAAAAAAGCCACTGAAGTCGTAACCGACTTTTCAAAAGAATTTCAAAATACAAAAGGAGACTTAGCCGAAAATTAAAAGCAGTAGCTAAAAAGGGTGGTGAGATGGTTGTAGATAATGTTGTAGATACAGCAAAAACACTTACAAAAGATGGACTTCAGACAATAGCAAAAGAGGCACTAAAGCAGACATTTGAACCGGCACTTCAAGGAATAGCAAGTGGGATTGGACTTGAAGGGGATATTGTGAATAAAATAGCATCCAAAACGACTGATTATATTGGGGATAAAGCAAGTAAACTGAGTGGAAATGCACTTGAAGTCGCCAATGATTATGTAGACCAAATGGGTACAAAAGCCAAAAATTTGGCAAAAAGTAATTTGAATAAAGGAATTGGAACAGGTTAAAGGGTCAAATAAATTGGATTTTAATATTTAGTAATTGAATAATTTGGGATTGAATCTGTTTTAATTTTAATTCAATCACAATTCAAAAAAGTTCAACTTGCAATTTTAGATAAAAACATGTTTCTATGTATATTTATAGAACTTGAAGATGTTTATTTTTTATGGGAAAGTCACACAATAATTATAATTAATTTAAATTTATAATAAATATAATTATTTGTAAAATAATAAGAATCAAAATAACACTATAAAATATATGTTTATTATTACAATAGTTTATTTTATATTTATTTATAGTATACGTTTCAAATGTAATTGATGTTTGGAAATTAATAATTTAAAGAAATCTTTTAGTTGTATTTTTCTTAGTAACTTTCTTTTTTCTTTTGCCACGACCAACAAATCTTCTTTTTGATGGTGGCAAATAATTTGTTTTATCAAAACCTGTTTCACATAACACAACTTCATTTACCAATTCTTTGGGGAATCAATTATCGTTGTTTCATTCTCAGTATTAAATACAGAGTCTTCTTGTACACACCGTTCTGTTGTGCAAATTTGTTTTGAATAATCTCTAATATCATTAATTGTTTTTTCGTCTGCTTCCTGAATTTTCCATTCTAAACACTTTGTCATATCGATAGGTTCTTCAACTTGTGTTTGTTCATACAATTTAAACCATCTGAACGTATCAATAGTTTCAATCAAATACTTTTCAAATGAATCAATTGATCCACTTTTACTATAATAATT